TCGGGGAGGTGATAGGAGGGGGGCGGAATTGAAAGTAGCGTTGCTGGAAGGAAGGCGGGGCGCGTGCATAAACGATAGCTGAATTTTGTTAGCCAAGACGCAATGGGCTAACTGTCATTGTAACTACCTTTGTGGCCCCAAACTTCATCGTGATCATCATCATTATCGTCAGATTGGAGTTCCCAAACGACATCTGCAAATCGATCCTTTGCTTGGTGAAAGAGGTTGGTAAGATCATTACGCCAGGCTTGCGTGGACTGTCTTGTTGCTTCCTGGACAGTATATGATGGCATAGAACCAACACCAACCATCGCCATCGCCAGCAACGACGAATATGACGAGCAATCGAATGGAAACGGTGTCGAGAATGCTCACAAAAGTTTGCAAAGCACCAGAAACACGTGTGGTTAGGTAAGGTACTTACCAATTTGATGTAAACAAATAAATATATTAACTCCAGCCTACGAGGAAGGACATCACCACGCCCAAAACCAACTTCAAATCAAAACAACTCCTCCTCTTCGGGCTTCCAATTCTTCGCCTGATCCCAATACCCCGCCAACCTCTGCCCCAACACCTCCTTAGCCATCGCATCAGTGGGGCACCCCTTAGGCTTAAATGAATTAAACGCCCGATCTCTAAGTTGACCCTCCCACACGAGATAACACGCATTGTTTTCGAGGGAGACTGTTTCTTCAGGTTCTGCGGATTTCCCAGGACCTCCAGGACCAGTAGCATCATTAAAAGCGGCACCATTGGTTTCTGTGCCTTCTTCGCTTGCGGTATCGAGGATTACATCCTCTCCACCGCGCGGACGCGCAGCCTCGGTCCAAGCCATACGATGAAGCATCAACCGCTTGTAGTTCTGGATGAACTTGGAGGCGCCTTCCACATATACCATGCTAAAGGCCGGATTAAAAATACACACGCCCGTTAAGTTGAGTTGTTCCGCGTTTTTGCGAACTTTGAATCGGTGGGAGGGGTCTGTGAGCGTTTTGACCCTGTTGCACAAGTAAACGCAAAGTGAAGGTGGAAGTGAAAGCAAAGTCAACTTAGATAGTACCGACAAGCGAGGGATACGCACTTGAAAACAGCCCCAACAATACCCTTCTTCTCCTGCTCAGATTTCTTATTCTCGATCTTCTCTCTGCGTTGTTCATCGGTGAGTTTACGTTCTGCATTTGCCTTTTCGTGCGTGTGTTTTCTCATCGCAACTTCCCTGCGCACACGGGCTTCAACACGCGTGGGGTCTTGGACTGCATCTGATGTCAAAACTTTCATGAGGTTCGACAGGCGGACTGTGGGAAATGAATCGTGAGCAAGATCGGAAGGGTTAAAGAGGTTGAGACGGGCCTTTGGGTGGGTCAGGTGGGATGAGACCCATACGAATACGATCACGTTTATCTTGTCGTTCGGCTTGACGGCGCTGCTTTCGCATCTTCTTTGTCTCCTGCAGTGCCATGTTAGATTGTACACATCCATACAATATATATACATGCCTTTTTGGTCAACATAAGCGGTTTCAAGCCAATTTTGTGTTCTTCCATTGGAGCTGGGATGGGAATAGGATGCTGGACGTACAACGTGACTGGCGAATCCTGAGTTCTGATATTGAGGTGAGAAAATCCGAGGGAAAGGTCATCGTAGGTTTTGTTGGGCAGTAGCGCTGCATCCCACCATTCCACTGTGGGGGGAGGTTCGCGCTGGGAGACATGGTCGGGAATGAAATGAACAGTTGAGTAAACACGCACCTTGATGTTCTTCTCCAGAGTCTCGAACTCTGAATCAAGACCAGCTTTACGCGCGCTCTCGGCAATGCGTTGCTTGAGCGCCTCGAGCTGTGCCTCCTGACGCAGTTGTTCGGCGAGCTGTTGATACTTGCCCTGGGGATTGAACCGGAAAGTGCGACCATGACGCTCCTTTGGGGCGCCTTCGAAACCACTGTCTTTGGCTGCGGTCGAGCTGGAAGCGTAAGGATTGGCTTTGACTTCGACGATGGGTACTGGGGTTGGCGCTGGAGGAGGTGTTGGGGCGTTTCGAATGTTTGCCTTGGAAAGGCGTCAGTTTCAAACATATGCGTAAGAGAGTCATGTGCACCTTGATTGAAGCGAACTTGGGCTGCATTGGTTTGTATCGATCCTTCTTCGACTGGGGTGCAGCAGGAGCAGTATCAAGGAGAAGGGGATGCGCAGTCATCTTCAATCCAGCACCTTGCTGGGCTGGTTCGACGGGCTTGTTCTTCTTGCCCAATTGAGGCACCGACTAAATGCATAATGTGGAAGCAAGCATCATTAGAGTGTGAGAAGACTGACCATGTACGGGTTGTCCTTGACCGCAAGCTTCGTCTGTGCCTCTGCCACACGGCGCTTGGCCTCTGCAACTTTGCGAGCGAGGTCTTCGGTATTCTGAAGTGGTGTGCCTGGACCTGGTGAGGGGCTGTCTATCTTGACTGGTGGAGCCTTTGAGAGACCTGTGATGCCGCCTTTCATGGCTGCGACCTTTGCCGCAATCTCTGCTCGTTTCTGGGCGATGAGAGCATCTCCGGATAACTGTTAAGAAATAAATGAGTGATTGAATGAGCTTGAGAGAGATATGCACTGACGGCTACTTGGGCGTTGCTCCCATTAGAGTGAGCCTGTAATGAGCAAAGGGTTATAGAGATATGTGAGAACGATGTAGCAGGTGAATTCACCTTGAAGAAAAGAAAGTTAGACTCACAAGATCACTAGAAACAATACATGAGCCAGTTAAACATGAATGCTAGTAGGACTGACCAACCTTTTTTGTTTTTTTGTTAACGAAGACTCGCCATTGCCGTCGAATGCCCGCTTGCTCATCGTTCGTGGTGGCAAGCAGGAGCGACGCGCTCAGTTCAGTATCACTTAACACAGATTAACCCCTTCTTGAAGGGGTCTCCAGAGAATTATGTCGGAGCTTTTGTCGTGGCATTTTTATTTAATGGCATAATTTCAAATAGTTACAGTTGCCACATCGGGGTTTGCAATATTTAAGACAGGTTTGAATGTCGTGCGAAATGTGAACATACCACAGCACCTGTAGTTCCCACGTAACCACCCTAATTAGACTTGACAGGTGGGGCTGATGGTGTGTCTAAGTCGACTGGAATTTGGCTGTACGCACCAGAATGAATAAATATTCAATAAAGGTGGGCCTTGAGGACACTATAAGGTGCTGGGTGGTGTAGGTACCAAGCGGGCCCTCGGCTATGTCCGTCCCTGAGTGCCTGGGACTATTATTACTGCCGGCGCTGTCCTAATTGGGCCACGTCATCGCCAAACCTTTGTGCTTGCTGTGTACAACAGTGAGCTCGTGTATCTCCCTAGTAGTGCTGCTGCGGTCTGGTCCAGAACCATGGTTCGAACTGGACTTTTGGTCCGGTTCTCCGCGGTTCGGTCCATGGTTCTTGTGCCAGCTAGAACCGGACCGGAAAACGGTTCTCGGTTCTAGCTCTTCCCAAACGGTCCAGTTCTGGTTCAGCCTTCCCGAACCATTCTGAACCCTTATCGACTTCGACTTCGACAACATCTGCCTCGACATCAGACTGTCGTCTTCGGGATTCACGTTGTTGATTAATCAAGCTACATTTAGCCTTTTCGAAGGTAAGCACTAACTAATTAAACTCTCAAGTCTCTCACCAACTCACCTCTATAACAGGAGGTTCTGTTCATTGAGGACCGGCTACAACACTGCGCAAGACTACCTTTTACTGGAGGTGGATATATTAGGCGCGATCAAGGTGGATTTTGGAGGGATTGTGTCTTGCACTATGCTGCAGAGGTGCGTATTATGATTTGTACTCTGAATGCTGATGGCTCCCTCGAGGGCCAGCACTCATCGCTACCAGCGCACAACCCATCACACACCACGCTACCTGCGCCTATGTTGATGCCTGCCACCTCAGTGACCTCACCGCATCCCCTCTCACTCGCTTGCTGTTCTTGCCGGCTGGCTTTTGCTGGCTGGCTCGCCGTGTCTCACTCACCCACTGTCTCTCGCTCACTGTCTCACATGCCCGCTGGCTGCTCTCGCCCACTGTCTCTCACCCTCTGTCTCTCGCCCGCTGTCTCTCACCCTGCTTTCAAACCAATATTCCGCGACGACTCGACAAGAGAACAGAGGGGATCCATAGGAACAGCAAAGACACGCACGCTAATCTACTGCCCACCCCCCTTCTCCTCCAGAAGACATGCCATCGAGCTGTGATACGCCTCGCCACTCTACCCCAACGCCACCCTCTCCACCCACATCTCAAACATGTCATCAAGCACCAAAACATATCCCGGCACCATTCATCACTCGACAACCTTCCAAATATACCCCGACGATGTCGAAACGATAGATCCGCTGCAAAACTCGGTCAAAAAGCAACCAATAGTCTATGGATTGCTCAAGTCATGGTGGAGGGGTAGGAGCTGCAGCCGTACTAACCCGCAAAGGCATATACTAAAATACCATCTAGGATCCGGCTGCAAGCACACCACATACAAAGCTGAGGTCGTACATTGGGACTTGAATGAGCTTTTGCTAATATGCTCGAGTAAAAGTCGTGTCATTCACACAGCAGGGAAACTAACATTTTACCACCTTTTTCCGCCAGTGAAATCACATCCTAATGGCAGTTAACCGGCAGCTTACTTCAAATTGCTTGTCTGGATCAGACGCCGCAGGTTCACATTCCCCACGGTAAGCATTGGTTGTTATTGTGTTTTAACCAGAAAAAAACCGAACCGGACCACAGAGAACCGTTCTCTGTGGTCCGGTTCGGGGTTTGAAGATTTTGCAGAACCGGACCATGGTCCGGTTCTCGGTTCTCGTCCAGGACCCTCTGAACCGGACCGAACCGGACCACGGCAGCACTACTCCCTAGCATGCTTATGGATTTGAGGCAGAACTTTGCAGACATAAAGTATATATGTACGTTAAATCATGTCCTACCTCATTATACAGTCAACGTAATAGTGTCCTTCAGTTAAAAGCAATCAAACATTGAATGTCACCTGTACAATCCCTTCGAGTATGCGAGCATGCTCCTCCCCATCGGCCTCAGCATTCTCCTCCTCTTCAAGATCCTCCAATGTGTCGTCATCTTTGCCTCCCTGGTCTAGGTGCAGCCCATCAGAAGCAAGCTGGGGAGGAATGCAGACTGTAGGAGAGCTAGCACTGGCACCCGGTCCTTGCTCGATGCTTTCACCTGGTATAATGGACCCTGTAGAGCCTTCCAGCATGCTGATCTCGTGCAGGCGATGATAGTGATGTCCAGAGAACCTTGCACAGATCTTGCGATGCAAGGCAACTTGATGAGCGAGCCCCGGATGTAGAGTTTGAAGTTGCATCTCACACTCTATTAAGTACCTGCTCTCATCATGTAAGTAGGTAGCTAGCTGCCTGATTTCAATATTGAGACATTGAATCTCCTCGCGTGCATGGCACATCTTGAAATGAGTGTCCATAGTGAGGCGCCCAGTTGGAGTTGACCAGGGACGCTGTGATATATCTTGCCACACATCACGGAGGAAGTTGAAGTCAGCAAGGAAAGCATACTTGATGACTTCTTCCCATGAGAGAGCAGGACGTGGAGGGGAAAGTGCTCGAGCAGCAGTATTGTACTTGTCTAGAGCAGTACGAATGGCCGCCGAACGCACTTGTAGAGCCTTGCCAATATGTTTATGAAGTTTGTAGCCTGACAATGTCATCAGTACCGAGGCGAAACATGCAGCCACGTCAGCTCACCTGTCCCTGCTTGATTCATCTTCGAGAGCTCAAAAATTTGAGCAACAATGAGACTCTCAAGTTGATCGAGAGACCACTGGAACTTGTGGTTTGCCACCAGACAGCCCACATCCCTCCATTCCTGATCTTCTGGTACCCATCTTTGAGTCACACTAAGTTTCATCTCGAGTTCCTGGACTACCTTGAGGTCCTTCTTGTAATTCTCGATGGCATGCCTGCGCGCAGTCTCGATCTTGTTCGTCAATGCAACATCACGGGCACCAAACTGCACTGTGCTTGGAGTGGCCACAGTCCAAGCTGCCATAGCAGCGTCTAGATCCTGTCTAATCATTTACAATAGTCAGGGAGCGAACAAAGGACAGAGACTTGGACTTACTTGCTACCAGACAAATTAACGAGCTTTTGCCAGTATTCCATCTGCAGGGTCTTGTTGGTTGGTTCTTGGCTCAACAATGTGAGGTAAGCTCGCTCCTCAGCTAACCAGGTGTCAAACACACTCTCATCCTCTATACCGAGTTCGCGCATCAGTCTTGGTAGAGATTCTTGACCATCGGCAATGATGCGAAGCACTTGCTTGTAGTTATTGTATAAGAATGTGCCTAGAATAGTTTTGAGCATATCACCACTGATGAACAATTCAAAAACTTACTAAGATTCGTGTAGATCTCATAGTCATTGTTATGTTGAAAGTAGTTGGCGATAGCTTGACGCCGGTGAAATATGCTTGCATATTGGACTGAGGATGCGAGTGCGTTGGACTTCGAGAATGTCCGCTCACAGCCTTCGGAGTCTTCTAGCCCAAGGCTATTGACATAAGTGGCAAGGTGATTGAGCTGACACAGATGCTAATGAGCATGACCGTGGAACGCACTGACGAGTGAGGTATGGTTGAGTTCATGTGCGTGGTGCCCAAGTACACTGCAACTGAGGGTGGTCTTGAACCTGCACCCTATGTCGTACCCACCACCGAGGTCCTTGCCAAATGCGTCGAGAAGCTTAGAGACTATGGCCAGAGGATATTTAGCTCTAAATAATGAGTCAGTAGAAATCAAGGTAGAGTAGTGACAATACTTGCTGTTCGCCGCTCTGAACCATGTCTGCGATCACAAGAGAGAACCCATTGTTGGAAAAGCATGCTCAGTGTTGGGGACAACAACTACATTGACGATCTATGTACCTGTTGGAAAAGCACGCTGAGATAAATCTAAGTAAGTGTGAAACTAGCAAGATAAACAAGACACATACCTCAGTGTTGGGGACAACAACTGAGGGATGCTAACAGTGAGACGACAAGGTATTTGTATGGTGCAAGAGACGGAGCAAGAATGACCAGAGAAGGATGCTACCATGCAACACCAAGCACGTTGCATGTGGTACGAGATGGCGAGGTTGTCTAATACCCTAATGTAATGTTAATCAGCCCAAGAACAGAAACTCAAACTCCAATAAACCCCCTCAACCCGCCACGAGTGAGAGACCAGCATGATGTGCAATGAATGTAGGATGTGGAGGAACCTTGGTGAAGATGTCGGCACTGTTGCGATGAGTGGAAACCCAGATAGGTAAGAAGGTACCGGCTTTGATGTGTTTGCGGATGAAATGGTAGTGTAAGTTGATGTGTTTTGTGCAGATGTGGTTGGCTGCCTCAGTGGATAGTGCTATAGCGCCTGTATTGTCAGCATAAAGCTTGAGAGGCAGCGTGAAGGTGATCTTCACGCATTCACAGAATGACTTGATCCAGAGACCATCCTGGATAGCCACCGTCAACGCCATGTACTCAGACTCCACGGATGACAATGCCTGCGTCGACTGCTTCTTCGCTGCATGTGAGATAGGGCCACCATGATAATATCAGACATAGCCGGTGATGGAAATGTGATCTTCGGGACATGTGGCCCAGTCTGCGTCGCTAAACCCGTGAATGGTGGTGTCTGCATTCTTGCCGCCGTAGTGCACACAATAGGACAGTGTGCCAGAGAGATAGCGAAGGACTCGCTTTGCAGCTGCATAGTGACGAAGTTCGTGTGAGGAATTGTGTTGCGACAGCTTCATAACGGCATGGGTGATATCTATTAGTGCTATGCTCGATGACGATGCGATCAGCAGAGTTGAAGTTTGGAATTCAAACCATGTATATACCGCTTCTCATTCTCACCTTCCCTCAGCTTGTTCCACCACACTGAGGGTAAGCCTTTTGTAATCGTTCGGTCTGCCGCTAGATACTGACTACAGCTTAGGCTTACACAGTATCTAGGTATTTAATACAGCTTGTTCCACCACGCTGAGGGCTTACGCAGTATCTAGTCTTTACAGGTTATGAGCCCTGCTCTTTCGTAAATCGAAGAGCGGAATTACCTACTAGATACAACAGCGGGCCTCCGGAACGACCTCGCCGGGTTATTAAACCCTCGGAGATTCTATCAAACTCCTATCAAACTTCTATCGACGTCACTGAGACACTTAATTCTTTCCTTCTTAGGTCGAGGAGATTCAATTGAAGTCGCCCGCAGGTATATATACTCGTGCGTCGCTCTTTGCCTATTTCTCGCCCCTTAACATCATGCCTCCAACTGCGCATACACGCTCTCGTAGCTCAGGCGCTAAGACCGCCACTCTTAGTCCGCCAACGGCCATCGTGCCTATGACTACCCCACTTCATGCATCCGTCACGGCCATTACGCTCAGCCAGACCGACTTAGACAAGATCGAAGTCTTGGATTGCAGCTAATTGGGGGGTTTGGTCCGATCGTATGCAGAATTACCTCCTCCTGAAACACGGAGGGGGATACATCTTAGGTCTTGTCACCTGTCCCGACCCATCCCTGGATCCATCCAGTGCAGGTCACTGGGATCTCAACAACCTATGCATTGTGGCCGCCATGCGTACACGTTCTAGCTTTGAGGAAAACGAGTTCCTACGTGGCTTTACGAACACTTACCTCGCTTGGGACGCTCTCAAGTCCTGTCATGAAAAGGTCGGGCCCATCGCCCAAATCTTACTCATTCAACAAGCTCTGGCAGTCAAGTATATTCGTTCAGAACGACTCTCTACTACTAGTACTACCCTTCACGACCTCGTTTGTCGCATCTATGCGATTGGTGTCCCCAAAGAAGACAACTTCCTCACGATCATGATGCTTAATGCCATGGCCGAGGACCTTCCTCACGTCCGCAATCACATCGCCGACGCCCTTGCCACCAGCATGTCCAGCAACCCGTACGGACCATCCAATATCCGTTCCCGCCTTGACGTCGAGCAACAGTTGCTTGACACTGAGAAGTCCAAAGTTGGAGATGTTGCCATGGCCACCACCGGTAAAGGGGGGAATCACCGCGAGCATCGCGAGCGCTCACCTTGTGGCAACTGTGGCAACACCAGCCACCCGACAAAGGACTGCTTCAGCAAAGGGGGAGCCATGGAGGGCAAACGGGACAAGGTCATTGCGCGCAGACGTGCAGCTCGTGACGCTAAGGCACCCTCTGCGAGCAAAGGTGCCGCTCCTAAGCCCACTGCAGCCACCGGTAAACCGGGGGGTTTGCGTTACGACACCAACGGTAGAGCTTACTTACTTGACAGCGAAAGTCATGAAGCCATCTATGTCGCCATGTCATCCGAGCCATCTGATGCTCCCGTCCCCTCTACGGAATTCGCTGGTCTTGCCAGTGACACTGTCACGCCAGCGTTCATTCGAGAGCTCTCTGACACAGGAGAGGATGAATACACCACTCTTCTTGCGTCCGTCGACACCCTCACCACCAGCCTTGACTGGCGTTCCAACACTCGTCCAGTCAACTTCGCCGGCATCACCTATAAAGCACCTAACCAGCGTAAACGCACTATCGTGGATCCATCGGTAGTACCTCTTTTCCTCAATAGTGGTGCTTCGGTGCACATTAGCAACAACGAGAGCGACTTCTTCAGCCTTTGACCCATTCCCCCTCGCTCCGTCAACGGCATTGGAGGATCATCCGTGCAGGCTGTCGGCATAGGCACTCTGCGCCTCATTGTTGCCAGAGGCATCCATATCACCCTGGACAACGTCCTGTTCATCCCCGGAGCGATGGTGCACCTCATCTCGGTGTCCGCGCTCTGCTCAGCTCATCGCTGCATTGCTTCCTTCGACGCTTCGAACTGCTGGGTTCAGTCGAGGAACGGCAATCACATGTTATCTGGCACACTTACCTCCCATCATCTCTACGCACTATCCGGGGGCCAACTCTCTGCAGAACACGCGTACATGGCTCACCAGAAGCCTACCCTCCAGTCCTGGCACTGTCGTCTCGGCCACGCCAACTATCGCGCTGTCTATGACCTCGCTCGCTCCGGTAACTCATCCGGTATGCCCATTAACCTCTCTCCCGTTCCGCCCAAGTGTGACGATTGCATACTTGGCAAGCAGACACGGACTAACGTCCCGAAAACACGTCAAGGACCTAAGTCAGAGAGGAGATTGGGTATCGTGCATGTAGATTTGATGGAGCACCCTGATACAGTGTCCGCCGCTGGTAATAAGTACATCATGGACATCATCGATGATCATTCTTCCTACACTTGGTCTATCCCCCTTGCTGCTAAGTCTGACGCGTTCCCGGCACTTCAAGCGTGGACTCTCGCTCATGAAGTTGAAACAAGCGCGAAGGTCGGCATATTTCGCTCCGACAATGGTGAACTTAAATCCCAATCCATGCGAGAGTGGCTCCTCTCTCGTGGATCTCAACATCAATTTACCGCCCCCCACACTTCCGTGCAGAATGGTCGTGTTGAACGGCTGCATCGTACTCTCATGGGTAAGGCCCGCGCGATGCGCTCCGCCTGCAATGTCCCCGTCAATTGTTGGGACGAGTTCGTCTTAACAGCATGCTACTTATCTAACCGTACTCCCGTGGCATCACAGGACGGTCATACTCCATTCGAGCGTTGGTACGGTCACAAACCGGATCTGTCTCACCTGCGTGAAATCGGCTGTAGAGCCTTTGTTCTGATTCAGAATCAACATAACCCTAAGGTTTACAGTCGGTCTGTTGAATGTGTGCTGATCAGCTACGGGCTCAACTCAAAGACTTATCAGTGTTATCACCGCGCATCTCACAAGGTTTTCATTTCTTACAATGTCTCATTCATAGAGTCTCATCAGAACAGAACCTCTGCACCAAACCCGATACATGCACCGACCCCCACACCCCCAATAATTTCGCCTCGAAAACCGTCCGTTTCTATCGAGGAGGTTTCAGATGTCGATGCTCCCCCACCCATCATACCCCCACGCCGGTCAACATGTGCTGCTGTGCCTTCGGAACGCCGCTGTGCAATGGATGGTAAGCCATATGTGTTGTCTACACAGTGAGCCATACTGGAGTCTCTCTCGGCTGCTGATCGTCTGCGAGCCTTATCCCACGCTCATCCTCCCGGTAGCGACGCTTCAACCGCTATCTCAGCTGAGGAAGAGTTGGCATCCCTGGCTGCTGCGTTTGCGGCTATGCCTGATAATTTAGAGCACGAACTTCCAGACGACCCTTCCACTTACGCCGAAGCCATGGCCTCCAAACACGCTGCTCAATGGACCACTGCACTCAAAGAGGAATTCGACTCACTACGAGAACTTGGTGTCTATAAGCTGGTGCCTCGCATGGCGATTCCACCCGGTCGCAAAATTATGTGCAGTCGACCTGTCTTCAAACTTAAACGTGATCAGCATGGCAAGGCGGCCCGTTTCAAAGCCCGTTACGTCTGTCGAGGATACTCTGCCGTCTGGGGTCAAGATTACACGAAAACTTCAGCGCCTACAGCGCGACTCGAGTCTTTTCGAATTCTGACTCACCTCGGCGCCGCCTTAGATTGGGAGATCGACCAGCTGGATATCAAAACGGCGTTTCTTCACGGCCTGCTGGAAGCTGATGAGGTCTGCTATATGCACCAGCCAGAAGGCTTCCTCGAACCCGGCAAGGAAGACTGGGTGTGGGAACTCCAGAAAGGCTTGTACGGTATGAGGCAAGGAGGACTCATATGGAATCGGACGGTGAATGACGTGATGCTTGCCTGGGGGTTCACTCGCCTCAAATGCGAGCACTGCATATACTATCGCAATGCTCCTGACGGCATTCTCCTCGTCGCGGTTCATGTCGATGATTTTCTCACTGTAGGCAGCACCAAGTCTGCCATAATGAACTTTAAGGCCCAACTGCGCACTAAATGGTCAGTATCCGACCTAGGTGAAGCACAATTCTGCTTGGGGATCGCACTCAAACGTGACCGATCGAACCGCACCATCAGCCTCTCACAGACAGCTCTTATTGATCGCATTGTGACCCAGTTCGGGTTGACAACCACTGCGCCTGTCTCCACGCCAATGGAGACCAGTCTCCATCTCTCACGCCGTACCCACTCACCCAATACTGATGCCCAACGCGAACTTATGGCTCGAACACCTTACCGTTCGCTCGTCGGCTCATTAATGTATCTGGCAATAGGAACCCGCCCTGACATCGCTCATGCTGTTCAGCAACTGTGTAGACATCTCGACTGCTACGGTCCTGTTCATTGGGAAGCTGCTAAATGGGTAGCACGATATCTCAAAGGTACTCGTACTCAGTGGTGAACATCCCGCGCGCCTCCTTGGCTTCACTGATAGCAACTTCGCGAATTGCCCCGACACCCGTCGATCTGTCAGCGGGTACTGCTTTACCATGGGCAGTGGCATGGTCACCTGGAGTGCGAGGCAGCAGAAGACGGTTTCCCTATCAACGTGTGAGGCCGAGTACGTTGCGGCATCCGATGCAGCAAAAGAGCTGACCTGGTTGCGCACATTGCTTCTTGAACTCAAATTCGCACAACCATCTGCAACACCTTTACTCTGCGATAACACCGGAGGCATTACACTCTCAGAAGACGCCTCATATCATTCTAAAGTGAAACACATCAACATCGCCGTGCACTCGATTCGCGAACGCGTCAGTCGTGGCCAGCTCAAACTCTCATACGTCAAATCACTCAACAATGCAGCGGATATTTTCACAAAGGCCCTCGCACGCAAGGACTTCGAGCGCCTCCGCATCTGCTTAGGTTTACAGTGAGAAATCAAGGAGGAGTGTGATTACTTATCGTGTCAAGGAGGAGTATTAGTGCTATGCTCGATGACGACGCGATCAGTGGAGTTGAAGTTTGGAATTCGAACCATGTATATACCGCTTCTCATTCTCACCTTCCCTCAGCTTGTTCCACCATGCTGAGGGTAAGCCTTTTGTAATCGTTCGGTCCGCCGCTAGATACTGACTACAGCTTAGGCTTACGCAGTATCTAGGTATTTAATACAGCTTGTTCCACCACGCTGAGGGCTTACGCAGTATCTAGTCTTTACAATATCTGGGCGAGTGTACATCGCGAGGTAGAGTAATTCCCCGACGAGCTTGTGATATTCAGACTGGAGATTGTCGATATGAGGATGAATGTTGGTGTCTCGTCCGAAAGGGAATGCAGGGTCCATAGGAAGTGAGATGGGATTGCACTGACGAAGGCCGTGCTCTTCAAGAAGGTAGGTGATGTATTCCTGCTGGTGCATCCATAGCTCTCGAGTAGCACGCGAACGGACGTACTGAACACCTAAGTGCTTGACTACGGGACCCAAGTCAGCAATTCCGAAATGTTCTGCAATGCAACCCTTGATCCAATCAAGGAATTTGCGATTGTTGCAGCCCGCAAGGCCGTCATCAACGTGCCATGCAATAATGCATATGACATGCACCCCCTCGCCATTGATGTGGTCATACACGAAGACGGCATAATCAGTGTCACATCAGAGAAAGCCTAAATGGATGAGCACCGCCCGCAAAAGCTCATACCAATCGTATGCAGCTTGTTTCAGCCCGTAGAGCGAAGACAGAAGATGGCACACCAGACTTGCCCCATTCTCAAAGCCGGGTGGCTGGCGCATGTAAATGTCTTCACGCAGCTTCCCCCACAGGAAGGTGTGCTTCACATCGAAGCTGTCGATTTCCCAGTCATGAGCTGCTGCATGTGCGGAAAGGAGATGAATGGAAGATGGTCGTGCAACTGGTGCAAACATTTTGCCAAAGTCGATGCCTGGTACCTGCGAAAAACCTTGCGCAACGAGACGGGCTTTGTGCACAGGCCCACCTTTCGCATCCTCCTTAAACTCCAGAACCCATCTACACCCAATCGCCTTTTATCCCGCTGGAAGCTCCACCAACTCATAAACATTCATCTCCGACATTAAGTTAATCTCCTTGCGCATGGCATTGAGCCAGTCGTTGCAGTCCGAACATTGCATGGCTTCGTTGAAGGTGGAGGGCGGGATCTTCATGTTGTAGTCTGGAGTGAGTGGATTCCTTCGAGTGTCACTGTGGATGGTGATGCACGCGAATTCAGTGGCGATAAGGTTGGCGAGCACACGGGGATAGCCGACTTCATCTTCGTCTGGGACAATGGCGTCAGGGTCAGCAGCCACGTCATCAGCCACGTCAGCATCACGCTCAGCATTCACTTCCTCAAGAGGCACCCCCTGAATGCGTGCTTGATGCAACTCACATTGGCACGCCAATTTCTCTCAGTCTGACGCCAGCTGCTCTTGGAATATCTGCCCACGCACGGTCGGTAATCGAACATGATCTGAATGACGAGTCTCAATGGGCAATGGCGGATGTGCGGATGATGGAGAGGCTGAGGAATGTGTGGGAGTAGTGGGATTTGCATGAGGCACAGCAGGAACCACTGCTGTGTCTTCGTCATCTGAGTCCTCACTGTCCGTTGGAAATGGGCGACCGGTGAATGTTTCATCGAAGATGACATCACGTGAGTTGAAGAAGCTCCCGGTCGTCTTATCACGACAATGCCAGGTGCGTCCATCAGGTGCATAGCCCATGAAGATGGCTTCGCGGGATTTCGGACCCAATTTCTGCTGGAGTTCAGAGGAAATACGAGTGAAGCAGTGCGCACCAAAGACGCGAATATGCGAAAGGTTGGGCTTTACTTTGTGTAGCATTTCGTATGGCGTTTTACCGGTGGGTAGTGCATGAGACTCAGTGTGATTAAATAGATATGCTGCTGTTAGCGCTGCTCCTCCCCAGAGATTCCTTGGAAGTCGTGCATGATTCAACATTGCATACATTCGCCCCTTGATTGTGCGAAGCACACGCTCAGCCCTGCCATTCTGCTGGTGGGCATATGGTGCGGAGAGTTGATGCTCGATCCCAGCTGCCTTTAATTCTGCTGTAAACGCCTTGTTGAGAAATTTACCATTGTTGTCTGAGCAGAATGCGACAACGCGCAGACCAGAATGTGTTTCCCACTTGGCACAAACACTCCGCCATGCATCCAGAGCTTGGTCCTTGGTGACAAGAAGCTGAAGGGCCAGAAGCCCTGTGTGGTCATCGAGGAATATGATGAAATAATGTTTGTGATGTGGAGTGACAACGGGAATGGGGCCGCAGATGTCTGAGTGAATTAACTCAAGGAAACGAGAGGCTGGAGGTGATTGTGATGATGGATGAGGCTGCCTCGGATGTTTGCCAATGATGCATGACTCGCAACGTGTCATGGCTGCATCAGAGTCGAGGGAAAATCCTTGAGCAATGTGAGGAAGGCAATGGACGGACTCTCCTCCAGTGTGACCCATGCAAGCGTGCCAGAGATCATAGGTTAGCGGAACGTGTGCAAATGCAGAGAGCTCAGACGGTCCAGATAGTAGAGGTGTTGACTGAGGAGAGGGAATGAACTCGAGGTCTACATAGAAGAGTCGTCCTGACATTGGAACAGTGCCGAGAGCCGTTCCTTTGTACACAAGCTCACATCAAGCAGGGTCACCCCGCAAGTTACAGTCCCATCCCTTTGCTAGCATCCACCCAACTGAGAGAAGGTTCAATATCGCCCCAGGCGCATGAAGACAGTTAGTGAACTGTACTCGATGATGAGTACCACCTATCTTGAGCCATGCAACACAGTCACCGCGATCAGACGTGTGAAGAGACCCATGATTCGCTGTCTTGACAACGACAGGATCCTGGGTGGAGTAAGTCCAGAACATGGCTTGATCGCTGATGAGAGTGCTGGTGGTGCTGGAGTCAAGAATGGTGGATAATGCATGAGCATTTGCGGAGATGTTGTCATCGGGGACCTCATCGAGCAACTCTTCGATGCTCGCGCAGGATAGATCACGTGTATGTGTGGCATATGCAGCAATGGGAGGAGGTGAGACTGATGATGTCGGTGAAGGAGTGGGAGGTGTGCTTGTCGCAACCGCTGTTGTTTCCTTCTTCTTCTCGTTCTTCTTCTGCCAGGGCGCCTGTCCTGCCATACCTCCACCCTCACGATAGCAATGTTCCTTGTCATGATCTCTGCGTCCACACCCGGTCGTCAAGCAAAAGACTCCTTGGGGGTTGTTCTTATGCTTCCTCAGTCCAGTGATAGAGTTGACATTGGAGGCGGATGTAGTAGATGCAGAGTTGGCATACTCGGATCCAGGACCAGATGCATTTGTGGGATGGATGTTGACCATGCGTGAAGCTTCTGCAGTGATGCGTGCTGTGCAGCTTTCGAACATGAGTGTGCTCATTTGAAATAAAGCAGTAATGGGGTTCCCACTGCCAGTGAGCGCAGAACTGACAACAGTAGCAGAGAAGCTGTCATGCATGCGTTACTCGAGTTGCATGTGGAATAATTGCCACACCGAAGACGAAGGTAGCCCAGTAAGGATGTTGAATACCGCTTCCTCATCAGAATAAGAAGCACCCATGCCAATAAGGCGATCACGGCAGCTGGTGTATTGACCGACGTAGTTGTTTGCATCGTGCACATCTTTCATGTGAAGTGCCTGAATGCGTCTTCGAATGACAAATTGAGAACTGACATTGTTACGATGGAAGTGATCTTTAAGAATTTTCCAAGCTTCACGCGCTGTGACGGGAGTGTTGCGAGGAATGAGAAGATGAATGCTCGGTGCGAGTTTACAGAGGATGATTGTCTTGGCCTTAGAGTCGTTGATAAGCCAGGCTCACATAGCTGCCTTCTCGGCATCAGTAGGAGTGGCTGGAATAGCTGCAACAGGCAAGAACAAAGCTGTTCCAAGGATGTCGCCCAGATTTGCATTTTCAGTTATGTGACACCAGAGGTCATCGTTCATTAAGACGAGCTGCACCTGCGTCTCCCAGGGAATATAATTGTCTGCTCCGGTCAACTCTGGGATGTGGTCGTATTTCCCCATTATTAGGGCGACGCGTCAGAGAAGGAGTTGAATTTAATTGAGTTGCTTCAACAAGAGGGAGTTCGTAGTTTTCCAGATTCTGTGCTGTTTAGGACACGGGGCTCATAACCTGTTGGAAAAGCACACTCAGTGTTGGGGACAACAACTACATTGATGATCTATGTACCTGTTGGAAAAGCACGCTGAGATAAATCTAAGTAAGTGTGAAACTAGCAAGATAAACAAGACACATACCTCAGTGTTGGGGACAACAACTGAGGGATGCTAACAGTGAGACGACAAGGTATATGTACAGTGCAAGAGATGGAGCAAGAATGACCGGAGAAGGATGCTACCATGCGACGCCAAGCACGTCGCATGTGGTACGAGATGGTGAGGTTGTCTAATACCCTAATGTAATGTTAATCAGCCCAAGAATGGAAACTCAAACTCCAATACCCATGGCGACAAACCACCATGAATATTCCAGATTCGTCAAAAACACCCCACATTTTTCTAGTCTTCTTGTCCTTCATGTTCTTCCACCGGCCAGCACATGGGTTATCCTGAGTTTGAGTGAATTGCAAAGAATTAGTTAAGACAACAAAGGACTTACCTCGTTGTCATCCGCCAGCATGTCAACAGGCGAGTCACCAATGAAACTGTCAATGAAATCTCTTGATAAGTACCGGTCACCTCCCACAAATTGCATAGTTGGAAGCTCGCAGGAGCGCTGAGACAACGCCATGGTGTCATCTGAATCCATGTCGTTGTCTCCCATGCGCTGCTTCAACACACACTTGAGAGAATTGTTGCCGTCTTTGGTGTAGAGCATTCTAAATCTTAAAGGGAGTTCATTAGTCAATGTGTACGTGCATGCTGGACATGCGTGCTTGAGCCTCCAATCTGGATCATTACGTCCAATTGCTGCATGAACAAGGCTGTTGATATTAGTAAGCATTTGCAAGTATACATTGTAGGACTGGAAGTCCTTATAGCCTCGAAGAGGCTATTTTTGCAGTATCCCTCAGCACCCTATTGCTTTCCTATATGAAGCGCAGCTTTCCCGCGAGCCGCGCATAGCGGCCGCAACTTTCCTGCAACGGCCGCAACATTCCTGCGCGCACACACAGCCGCGCTTAGCGGCCGCTTTTCTCACGCTTCATTGGCTGACATTCTGCACCCATCCATAGTCCAATACCAACCCAATGGTACATTATTTCATGATTATATTTACATATCAGACCATTTTCGCATCGGACCACCTTTATTTCGTCATAGACCCTTATTTACATATAGCTTTACATACCTAACTCGGTAGCATGTCGGCTCGGTTCCGTGTGACAGCGCTTAGTGCAATACTTAAGCACTAGCAGTACATATCATTCAGTAGATTGTTTTCCGGACGTTCCAGTAGAAAACTCCCATTAGCCTACAGTTGGTAGCTATTGGTAATCAGTATCTGTTTACCGCTCGCATCATATCAGTTATCACTTTGCTCTACATCTATCTCTATTGTCTATCATCTCTATTATCATCCGAACCCCTTGCGCATCGGCCACTTCGCAGCCGCGTCTTTCCTGTGCCTTCGGCTTTCGCCCGCCACTACGTTCGCGCGCGCACCCGCCGCTTTCCCGCGCTTCGCATTGGCCGACAAGTGGCACCTTCTGCATCCATTTCTAGACCTTTGCTGCACTAGCTTCCCCTTTAGGGTCGAACGCACCTGTTTCGCAAGTATAGCAGATAGGCAGTGCACGACCTACAACATAAAGATATCAGTTTGGAGCCTATAGCGCCACTCTGAGTTGTAAACCTACAACGTCATACACTATTGAAAATTGCCAAGACAGATACACTGTTAAGACCGTGCACAAAGGGTAGGACTGATTCCAAAGGGCTTGGCTTCAGCTCGTGTGCTGCACCCCTTACCCGAGTATGTGCCCTTGATTGCAGATGACATCCGGAGGAAGTCCAAGGAAGTCTGTAGGACTTCTGAAGGAGCGCAGGAAAGTCCAGAAGGACTATCCAGATCCGGATGAGTGCGAGAAACTTCCGGAAATTACTATGAGGTTTTGTCCTGGTACAGATATGTGTAATGGCTACTCAGGATGAATCCTGAGTAGAATGGATACAGAGGAAAGGCTGCAGGGACCAAGTCCGAAGCAGAATAGGTCCGGAGGACCGTGGGAAAGTTCCGGAGGAACTTCCGGAAACTTGGAGTGTAGGATCAGAGGAGCGGAGGAGCGGAGGAGCGGAGGAGCGGAGGAGCGGAGGAGCGGAGGAGCGGAGGAGCGGAGGAGCGGAGGAGCGGAGGAGCGGAGGAGCGGAGGAGCGGAGGAGCGGAGGAGCGGAGCTCTGGCCTAGGGAATTCCTCCCTAGGCCTGAGATGGATATTGACTAAGTTGGAGGACTAGAACTAGTATGAGGTCTTAGTGTGAGGTCTAGTGCAAGGACTAATATGTGTAATATTCAGACTAAGGAAATACAGAAGTTTCTACAGGGTTTATATACTATGGAGGACATAACGGAGAATCAGTTAGCGCAGTGCAAGGCTATGTGAGGCTATGGATGGAGCATGTGGAACACCTAACACTAGTGTATCGGAACATGATAAAATGAAGACGGAAATGAATCAGGTACTGAAAATACAGCACAGTCGGTTATAGGGATAACTGGATGTCCGGAAACAGGTGATTACCATAAGGGGATGAGCGCTGATTTAAGGTTTGGGTTTGGATATGAAGCATAGGTCGGATCCGGAGATCCTGGCAAGTGGATATCAGATTGAGTGTCCGGGTTTTGGATCCGGATGTGTGGATATGCAAAGGTACAGGGATCCGGGTGTACAGGCATCTGGACAGATAAAGGACATGGACAGGGGGTCCGGAGGTCCGGATGAGGCGTGGGAACATTGTCGGATGTAGGTCCGGAATACGGGATATGACATACACGCGGAATTGAACCTAAGTCAAATCAATACAATGGTATCAGTACCTGAATAGTAGATGCACTCACACCTTGTAGATCACACATTGTCTTCACATACACCTGAATTGAGAAGTGGGGATTTTGTTGACGCGCTATGCGATAGAATTCGACTGCCTGTACTGTAATTCCAGTAGTTGGGGAGATCGGGGAGCAAGGTATGACCCCTTGACGAATGAGGGCTGAGGCAATGAATGTGTCTGTCGGGAATATATTCAAAGAAATATTCTCAGCGTCTAAAGTGTGTGTCAGCAAAACAGGCACAGATCATTAATAGAACCTACGTACAGAACAGGTCCATGACCCTTATCATAATGGTCCCTGTGACTTCCTCATCCAAAGACACGCTTCTGTCGTGTGCAAAGAAGCTTTGATTCTCATCATGGTTCTCAAATTGCCAAGTCATCAATGCCTTCCCTAAGGCTGACATCTGCTTGTCAAAGGCTTCAGTGCGACGCCTTGTCCTGTCATGTCTGGTTCTAAAATCATGCTGACGAGAGCGCGACCTCGTTTGATTTCTAGTAATCTTTTGATAAGTATTTCTATATGTGATAGTGCTAGTTGACTTACTGATTCCAAAAGTCACCCAAAACTTCGTGGGTGAGTTCATGAAACTCTCCACCTGCATGGCTAATGTCAACTGTCTCTGACCCATCCAGGAGACCGAAACCAAAGTCATCGCTGCCACCTGAAATCAGTCTCTTCTGGATGATACTCCCTGAAGTGCTTCAAGTGCGCGTTTCTCTTTGGAGGTCAGCACTATGTAAGTACTCCATCAGTGTCCAAGTCGAGAGTATTAAAAAAAACATTCTTACCTGCTAGGCGAGCCTTTTTGCGAGTACCCACGCTGGCAGCATGCTGGGCGATTTTCCTTGGCCCAAGGACTTTGCTTGTTGGTGGAACACCACAAGCTGTGGTCTCTCGATGGGAAACCACATGTCATATCTTTGAGGAGGTGAGTCCCATACAATTTCGAGGGCGTTTGCCCATGCTTGCGACAGCCATTAATATATTATTGATTCAATGCAAAACAGAGCCTTACCTGTCAACACCTGCACGTGACTGCGCAGGTCAAGAGGAGACTCAGAATTCTATCTGCACAAGTGTGAATATGAACCACGAACCTTGTCAATCACAAGGTATGTACCGACATCGTGTTTATTCATTTTCAGATCACTGAGCATGTTTAGGTCTGCAACAGCCAAGATCACTAGTCACTTGCACCTGGACAAACAAAAAGACACAGATCATTTCACAGCGCATAACCACTTGAACGAAAACCACGCGGGAGTTTACAGAACTTGAGACAGAGACAGAGAAAATTCGCACCACAGACACCGAGGTGAAACAGGTGATCACAGGTCCAGTAAGTTCTTCTTCTCGTTATTTTGGAACTATAATCTAACCTTGCAATAGTCCAATCTCCTGATCTTAAACTCACATGTTGAAGTGTAGGTGCAAGGCCTGCCAGAACGACCGTCTTCTCCAGCGTCCGAATCTACTTTGGAATCTACTTTGGTCCCCTCTGAGACGGCCACATTCTTTGTAGATAATGCAGTAGCATCTCCTCTGACGCCTACTTCCTCCCATTCCAGTGATGAGTTGTGGGCCCAAGTCGAGGACTTGTCAGACTTATCGGCGCTAGTGGGACAGGATGGAGTTGCATGATAGCAGTGTTTGAGGGTAAAGCTAATTGTGTACTGTGATCTTTACATACTTACTTTGTCCATCTGAATGTTGGGAATTTGATTGCATGTCTCTCACTACCAGTCACGGCTCAGAGGGACTGAAATGCAAGACATAGTAGTACATATGCAGAAAACAATTACACAGATGAATACATGAGTTTATATTTGCAGTTTGGAGAGAGGAAGCAGCGCATGTTGTGTTTTGCATGCAATTGAGTAACAATTGAGTATAGTTGTGCACCAAATCACTGAAAGATTCACAACATCATTTGTGCAATTCATAACTCAAGTTTAGTGAATTCTTATGTCCCAACACTAAAGCACATCTTTGTTTTCTCGGTTCCACCACAAATGATCAATAAAGTTCATTGAATTTCACTACCAGTCGGACAACTCAATTAACATCGACATGATGAAACCCGAGTAGAAATTGTGTATCATAGCGAACTTGTTTGCTATGTCGTTTGCTATATATGTTGTTCTATATGTATATATATTCACTCACTATAAGCCTTTCCATTCAACATACGATTGGTGAGGAAGAATTTTTATAACATACTAGATACGGCTAGATACTATGATAATACCGTACTTCAGAAAGTTTGCTCAAAGGGACTGCAGGGGCATACTTGTCGAGCTTGAGCTCAAAAAAAAACACCTCCATAAGAACCGCTGATAACAAGTCATATATCTGAATGTAAGTATCTTTCACCTGCTTGGGCCCCTTATTCAGCGGATGGTGCGTGAGAAGCTGAAGGTCACGCAGTATCGCTCGACCCTCTCGGACATGGTCCTCACACTGAGAGAAGAACTCGTCTGTGGCCCTCCACCCTTTCTCCTGCACACACGAAAGTGTGTGATGGAAGTTCTTCGCCCATGTAGCTGCAGGGCCCCATTCAGTTTGCCACCCAGCGATCAATGTACGTATGTCGGAGATGTTGGAGAGGGACATGGGAGCTTTGAGTTGCGCTGTTGTTGAGATGTGATGATGGGCATCATCATCCTGGTCTGGTAAAGACTCTGGAGAAGATGCCCACCTATCACTAGCCTCTGAGATTGGCGCCTGCAGGTCCTTTTGCTGGTGTTTCCTGTCAGAATTCTGTTAGTGATCACAATACAGTGTTAGTTGAGCAATGAAGTACCTAGCGCGATTCCTGACCATCTGATAAGTCACCAGAGGTAACAAGTGTGATAGAAAAACTCACCACTGCAAACATATTCGTGCCTTTTCATGTTGGATTTCACGGATACTAGTAATAACTTGATGATCAAGTATGATGATCAAGTTCAAAGACTAACTCAGGCTTTGAAAGCCAGCGGCGCATTGCCTCATGCTGCCTTTGTGATGCCATCAATACTAAAGGAATAAATGAAAGTTAGTACAAATTCCTGGATTGGCGATTTAGCTTACTGGTGAATGTGGCAGAAACTTGAAAGGTCAAAGCGAGTGACAGAGATGTTGACTCGGAGGGATTCAATCACCAGTGTCCTGTGAATTAAGTAAGCACTTGTCCGATGTGATCTTGGGGTAAATTGCCCTGGCGTCAGTCGTAGTATGCCAGTGGAAAGAACACAAGTACTCACCTCATTCAGTCAAGGACTTAGACACGAGGTTTGGAGAAGAGCATGCTATTTTTAGCACATTGATTTTGCTTGGAAGCTTCGCCGGCGGCATGACAACTACTGATATGTCATGCCGCCAGCGAAGCTTCCAAGCAAAATCAATGTGCTAAAAATAGCATGCTCTTCTCCAAACCTCGTGTCTAAGTCCTTGACTGAACGAGGTGAGTACTTGTGTTCTTCCCACTGGCATACTACGACTGACGCCAGGGCAATTTACCCCCAAGGTCACATTATTTGAGCCATGGATATCACTCAACCAATGTTCGAATATTCCTGTCCATACCTCACCTATCCTGTCAGTGGGCGCCTCCAGTCTCACAGGGAATGTCACTGGATTATCTGCAGGTGAGTTTTCTCTATCATAGTGAGCTGGCGCTGCCAAATTACTCAACAGAATCCTCAACAGCATCTTGCTTGCTTATCCATGCCCTGTCTTTCTTGATGCTACTAGCACATCAGCACTTACAGCTAACTGTTGCAGACGGGTCCATTTTCAAGCTGATGTGTATGTGCACAGATCCTTTATTCAAATATTTGTTCACTGATGGACACTCTACTATTCTACACCAGCTGGCCATCACAACATATCATTGTGTGGCAAATACCTACCAGTTGCAATGTTTCTCGCCAATGTGCCTTCACTGTCAGGTACATGACCTCAATATTTGCAGGATGTGATCAAGGTAAATATTTTCCTTCATATAATGTTGACGTCTGTGACTTGACTGATGCGGTGTGACACTTCCTCCCAGAAAACTTTGTGCTTAGCGTCTGCACCATGTATGACCCAAGTTTTGTGTTCACAGGTGATTCTAGCTCCCAATGCAACGGTGACACTCACCAAGGCAAGTCACCTTCCCATTTTCTCATCTCACAGTTTGCTAATGTACATCAAAGAACATGGCGAGGCCAGGCTGCCATATTTGCCTTATCCTCCTTCGCTCGTGGCATATTTGCCTTTCCAATATCCATCCATGCCAAACGTGCAGCCTTTCAATACCAATACCAACTCCTTCGAGGGTTCTATTGATTGGAATGACCCTGCGCTATATCATTCACTCCAGTCTCTTTCGGACCTGCTACATGGCCACCCTGACATGCAAGACACACTCAGGCTCTTGCCTGCAGTACCTCAAAATGATGCACAAAGTATGTACCCTAGCATGGGTGCATCACCCCACACTAACTGGGACATGCTTTTGCTTGCAGTACCTCGAAATGACGTGCCAGACACACCTAGCATGTGCACTAACTGGGACATGCTCTTGCCTGCAGTACCTCAAAACAACGTGTCAAACACGGTCCCTAGCACAGGCACATCACCCCACACTAACTGGGATATGTTGTGTCAGGACACGGCTGCGAATCTACCCGGCGGACACACCATCTAACTCACATCCAGATACCACAGAGATCAGTGCTGATGCCAACAACTCCTCCTGGGCTGCAAGAAATTCAAACTGTCCTATGCTGACCCCCCGCGCTCCGCTGAATGCAGCTCAGAAGGCTCAAGCGAAGGCATGGAAAGCTTCCTGCAAGCTTTCTGCTGAACAGCGGAGGGAGGCTGAAGATGCCCTAACTACTGCAATTCAATGGCTCCTTGCAGATGAAAACAAGAAGATCAGCACCCTTGCTCTCGAACACGGCGTGACTGAGGACAAGATCAAAAAAAACTTATGGGAGGCGAGAAACATTACAAAGCAAATCGGAACGTACAACTAGCCAACACCCTTATACATGCAAAAGCACAGGAAGTTAATGCAGGTCAGTCATTTCACTTGTGCTCATTTTTGCAAACATCATGCTGACTGAATCAATAGACCGACCTCATGGTGCGAAATATTTGCTTGATGAGATCCGAGACCTGGTGAAGGAGGATCATAGTATGCACAATCTGACCCCCAAAGAACAACAGGAATACATCAACAAACTCAATGAGCATCGTGCTCTTCAAAACATGAGTATTCGCGCAACTAACACCGCCGCAGCGCGTGATGTCCAGTCAACATTAGACAATGTCTTCAAGATGGTAGGTTTGATATGGCACCATGTCTTACACCTTACTAATGAATCTATAGCTAGATAGCCTTGCAGTTCGAACGGGGGTTTATGTGTGTCTCTTTGCCTCACGTGGACATATATGACACCACCCAGGCAACGTGGTTCGGGACAGATAATATGATGGACTTCTGGGAGGATGTCCTCCAAATGGAGGCCGATGAAATCACGCAAAAGCTGGAGCAATGGGCGTGCATGTCGGGTTGAAGTATGTCCTTTCTTGCTTTCCCACCAGTGCTACATTGATATCAACATCCTAGACATTGACGAGCGTGAGACGGTGCAAATCATGCAACGTGTTTGCACTCGTCTGCTTAATTCTGGGCTAAGTACATTTGTTTTCTATATTTAACAAGAAACAATACTAACTATTGTGTTTTAGGAACTATAATTAAGAGACAGGATGTTCGTATCAACTACACAAACTTCGGCACTGCCATTAAAGAGAAGCTTGGGATTGATCTGAAAGGCTGGCCCGAGGGCATTCCATTCCAATCCCCCACCAGCCTCAATGATCACAACGCCCTTCTGAAGCTCCACAATGCGCTTAAAGATGGCTCTTGCCATTGGTTCCACATGTCCCCGCGTCAAAGGGAGGAATATAGTACTCAACTAGCCATGCGCCGCAAGAGAGGAGAGACCATTGGTAAGCCCCGCAAGAAGCGCTCTGATGCTGGGGTAGCACAAAAATGCAATGGAATGGAGAACGGACGCCCGAGAAAGCGTGCACAAGGGTCTGGGTTGTCTGTACAGCCTCCAAAGAGTGCAGAGTTTGTGGTCACATCTGACGAGGAGGACATCAGCGAGGATGAAGCTTAGTTATTTGTTTTGCAGGTTTGAAAGCTCCTAGTATACATAGATCTAATACAATTTGTGTTGGCTACTTATGTATGAAAATCCGGCCGAAATCCATAAGCACGTTAGGGAGATACTCGAGCTCGCTGTTGTACACAGTGAGCACGAAGGTTTGGCAATGACGTGGCCCGATTAGGACAGCGCCGACGGTAATAATAGTCCTAGGCACTCGGGGACGGACATAGCCGAGGGCCCACTTGGTGCCTACACCACCCAGCACCTTATAGTGTCCTCAAGGCCCACCTTTATTGAATATTTATTCATTCTGGTGCATACAGCCAAATTCCAGTCGACTTAGACACGCCATAAGCCCCACCTGTCAAGTCTAATTAGGGTGGTTACGTGGGAACTACAGGTGTACCACAGCCCTCTGGGCAATCAAGGACCCTCCGCAGTTTTTATTTATTTATTGTGTCATCGCTTTCGTGCCAGTCATTTCACACATGGTTACCAGCTGCATTCACCAACTGAATCCCATACTCTGTCAATTATTTACACTATTTCAATGTATCTAGCACTCAAATAAGACATCAAACCTGGATCATTATCAGAGAGCCCGTACGAGACAATTCAGGATGTTGGATGCAACCATTGACAAAGGCTTGTGCTTTAGTGTCATTGAGAGATAGTGAGCTGTACAGAGACAGGTTGCACTTCATCTCCTCCCACATGGATGTCATATCCTGTGTTCCGGACCTGGACCAATCACGCAATCATCTCTGGACTTCCAGATCCGGTTAGCTCCTATCTTCTGTGCCTTTTCCCTTTAGTATTTCCCTTATCAGTTAGTATGCTTTATTTTCCATCCCTTATTCATTTTCGTCTTCATTTTACTAAGTTCTGATAGACTAGTGTTAGGTGTTCCACATGCTCCGTCCATAGCCTCGCATAGCCTTGCACTGTGCTAACTGATTCTCTGTTATGTCCTTCATAGTATATAAACCCTGTAAAGTCTTAGATTCTGCTCATTCCCTCCTCCGTTCGACTTGAGTCTCTTCTCGTCATCTCCGACAGTCTTAGGATCGACTCCTATTGACTTACCACCTCCGCCTCTACCTTAGGTAGTCCTCTGCTGTTTCCTTTCTAGTTCGGACATTGTCCGGATTAGTCTTATCTCTTGTTCCTGAATGTCCACCGGAAATTCCCGCGCATCGGACTCCGGACTCCGGACATTGTCCATTAGCCCTCAGAAGTTAGGGGCACATACTCGGGTAAGGGGCACAGCGCACAAGCTGAAGCCAAGCCCTTCGGATCCGAACCCTTGAGCACGTTCTTAACAATGGACCTGAACAACTGAGAACCACTATCTGTGCAGATGATGGAATGCCGAGGTGAGGAGAGTGGTATGTCGTTGGAAATGAAACCTGCCAAGATCAGTTCTTTTGCACCATCAAAGCCATATTCATACTTGATACACGATTGGGAGAGGGCTGTCTCAGAGAACAAAGCAAATGGGGTCATGTCATATCCCATATTCCGGACCTACATCCGACAATGTTCCCACGCCTCATCCAGACCTCAGACCCCCTGTCCATGTCCTTTATCTGTCCAGATGCCTGTACACCCAGATGCCTGTACCTTTGCATATCCACACATCTGGATCCTATATCCAGACACCTGATCTGATATCCACTTCTCAGGATCTCCGGATCTGACCTATGCTTCATATCCGAACCCAAACCTTAAATCAGTGCCCATCCCCTTATGGTAAACACCTGTCTCCAGTCTTCGGTTATCTCTGTTTCTGTTTTGCTTATTGATCCTTGTATGAGTTTCATCTCTGAGTTCATTTCCTTATGTTCTGTTTCACTTACTAATACATTTCCACATGCTCACACATAGCCTTACCTCTCTGCTTACTGATCTGCACAGACTTGCCTCCAGTATATAAACTCCTGTATTTCCTTAGTCTGAATATTACACAGATTAGTCCTCGCACTAGACCTCACACTAAGTCCTCATACTAGTTCTAGTCCTCCAACTTAGTCAATATCCATCTCAGGCCTAGGGAGGAATTCCCTAGGCCGGAGCTCCGCTCCTCTGCCCCTCCACTCCTAAATTCCTCTGAGTTTCTGGAAGTTCCTCCAGACCTATTTTGCTTCAGACTTTGTCCCTGCAGCCTTTCCTCTGTTTGTTTCTACTCAGGACTAGTCCTGAGTAGCTATTACATATATCCATATCAGGACGAAACCTCATTGTAATTTCCGGATGTTCCTCCAGAACTTTCCCGCACTCATCCAGAAGTTACTTGCACTTGTCTGGAAAGTCTTTCCGAACTTTCCCGCACTCCTTTGGAAGTCCTTTGGACTTCCTTGGACTTTCTCCGGACATCATCTGAAATTACAGGCACATACTCGGGTAAGGGGCGCAGCGCATGAGCTGAAGCCAAGCCCCTTGGAATTAGTCCTACCCTTTGTGCATGGTCTTAACAGGTCATGGCAATGACTTTGTCCATCTGGAGAACTGAAACATAGGCTAATAACTCATGAGTGCATGGTATAGATATGTACTGTCTCACACACCATGCAGAGGCAGGAGTAATAATGGTAAATTGCCATCATGTGGCCCCAGGTGTGCAAAGGCCATTCCTCACTGCTGGTCTCCTTGAAAACCTTGGCTCCAAGACCATCACGTAGTCACCTTCCCTATTGGCCCGCAGAACATCATCCACAGCATCTCTGATATTGTGGACATGCAAAGTCTTGACAGTATTTCAGATATTTTCCAAGGTCACTAGGTCCAGGTTGTCATCATTGAGAAGCGCCATAACACAATCATAGCTCCGAGATAAGAACATGAGAACTGGCTCTGTGAATATTCTGCAGTACACATAGGCATATATGACTTCTAATCATTCATTGTGGTACCTGGAGGTAAGGGGTGCAGCAGTATTGGGCCCAGATGGGACCTAATCTTTTCCAGAAATTCTACAGACTTCTCATGCAGTGCCACATCCAGGGGATCGTCGATGGCTGCATCCTGGTCACTCTCTATAGAATGGAAGGAGGCCTCATGACTAAGAGACTCATCTTCATAGCCTGAGCAGTCTCCTGAATTATGTGCATCAGGGTCACAATCCAAGACCCAACACGTATTCTGTGCCTGTAGAATGAGTTGATAGGCCTATGTCTTGATGTAGTACAAAATCTTTCGACTTCAGCATGTTTCTTGACAAGAGATTCCCAAAAGGCTTTGTGATGAAAAGTGTTATTATCCTGCAGGTAAAATCAGGTTCAAAATTATCTCATACCATGTCATTGCTATCACGGAAAAAAAAATGCGATACATGAGGTCAAGTGATATGGGAGTTGGACTACAGTGCACCATGCAAAGTAATCATATGCAAAAGGAATGGGCAGGACAAGATGAGAGATATTGTGCCTAGCAACACACAAATGCTGAAATACAATTAGATAGGATGCACACTGTGAGATGACCTGAATTGAGTGTGCATGAGCAATTTCAGCATACTGTGCACAAGTGAAGACAGAAAAATACTCAATAATGTGACATAAACTAGGCACAGAGACTGGCAACAGATTTCCAGACAGAAATTGACGGCCCACAGGCAAACAATCCCAAGAAACTCCGTCATGGTAATACCCAAAATAATACTTGCATAAGATGCATGACAACACAACTGTATGTCCCTTATTGGAAAGCTCTTGATCAGATGCAACCAGCACAACAGGATGAGCGAATGAATCAGGATGAAGAAGCTGTGGCCCTGATATCTATTGTAAGCTGCAGAGAGCGAAAGAAAAACAGGAGGAAAAAAAGTGACTGAACAACCAAACATCAATAAACATGATAAAAGGTCTGGGATAATTGGCTCTTCACATCTCTTGGATGCAAACCAGTACCCTTTACAGGGTCCTGGAATACTGTAGAGTTACAATCATGACTTCACACCCTTTCAGATGTGACCATGTCACCCTTAGCTTCACAGCTTCATAGGTCCTTGTGACATGTGACCTATTCAAATTAGCTTCAAATCTATCCTATATTTTGTACTCTTGTGAGAGCTTTTTGATAAGCAAGTCATGGAGCTCTAGAGGCTCATTGTATGTGATTGGCTGCACAGAAATAGGTTGAATTTTTTTAGCAATTTTTATGTTTTTTCTTCTTATTTTACTATGTGTCACAAAATAGCTTCACGACTTCAAAATTAGTATGACTGTCACTTCAAATAGCTTCAATTCGTCAGGGGGTGGGACATGTGATGAAGTTATGGTCGTAACTCTGCAGTAATACTTAATGTATAGGTTGTCATCTAAGCAGATGTAAAATTTCAAATATTAAAGAGATCTTGCACAACAAGAGAAATATAAAGCATCAGCAAACATTTTGTTGCTGGCTGAACGTCATTGATAATAAGAAATATAAATATTTTTTTGATGCTGGCCTAAACTTTGAAATGAAACTTCACATTTAAAACTTGAAAACACTTCAACCATTGCACATGACTGAATGTCTGCTGATGTATGAAGTTTAGACTGCCACTTAGACAGACATCAAAATTTAAAATACCTCCTGACGATAAAACAGGAAGACAAATCATGAAGTTTCATCTCCAGATAAAATTGATCGCCTGATGATTGCCCACTCATAGCTTAATCATCGCCTACTTGCAACAATCTATACATAAATATGTAGTACAGTAGAGTAAAGTAATCAATCCTATTTTATAGCAGTCATAAGTCTGAAGTTACAAAAAGAAATCACTCAGAATACAATCATATAGGCTAGTACTAAGCCTCTGTGAAAGCTAAGCAGGAGATCAAAATTAGAGATGTGCAAGTAACAACTATTCTTACCAGTAGCAAAAAAACTGCAACACACTGCCTCGACATTTTTCATCATTTTGTTGGTACCTGGATTAAACTTGAGTGAGCCCTTCCACTGCTTACTGTTCATTGGACTATTGGCATTATTAGTGAATTTATGCCACTCTCATGAGATGCCCTATTGAATGTTGTCCAGGCATGACTGGAACCAAAATTTACATCAACAGGACCAGAACCCCACATTCAGCTTTGAGGCAGCCCATGCCTAGGGTCTAGGCCACCAGGAAACAATTTACACATTCCCATCATCTGAAAATTAAAATATAAGTGCCACTATTGATGCAGGTAAGAGAAACTTGAATTACTATTATGCACATAATATGTCCCACACATGAAATCTACCTCCTCTTTTGAGAGCTCATCATCAAAATAAGTCTGGCCATCAATGTCCAGTATGAGGCCAAATAGTACTGTTTCCTTTGAAATACCATCAAGAATGGAGGGGAGAACATCAAACCCAAGACTGTGTAAAGCCAGCTGCCATATGAGCCCACCATGAAGAAGTTGGAGCATCTTTCTCTTTGACCACCATCTGGTCTGACTTTTTCCACAATTTGTCAAGCAGGCGAACCCCATTCTATTCTTATGATTAACAATCCTGCACTGTCATCTGCTGAAATACCTGATCCTAATGAGACCACCACCACCCACTCCCTTAGGGAGATAATAGAGGCCAACCTCTTTATAGATGTTGACTCCTTAGCGGCGAACACCATAATGGCTAAGAAAAGTCCTGATGGACTAATTGATTGAATTAGACTCAAGCCCGAGTTTCACTGCTCCATAGTAAAATGTGTCCTTCGACTTGCCTCAAAACACACAGCAAAATTCAAGTCTGCTTCTGCAAAAGAAGCCCCATTCCAATTCCTCATTAATCTCCTTAACAGCAGAGTTACATGTACTGCCTTCTTCCATGAAACAAAGACTGTGATGGCCCCAAAACGTACTAACAGGGAGAGTAGATGCAAGGACATAGAGAAGTTGAAAGTGCAGGTTGAAAACAGAAAGAAGTCAGACATTGATGTCAATGATGCGGAGGTGAAGAAGGCACCACTAGACCAAACCCCAGACTCGAATCCAGCCGCTGCAACTGCCACCTCAAGGCCCAGCCCCATAGCCCCAGAAAAGAACCTCTCACCGACTCCCATTAACCCCCCTCCCAACCTGGAGGTGATCCCACAGGTGCAAAACCCTGCAGTTAACCAGGAACTCGAGACGAAGAAAAGCAGATGCTCAGGAATTCAGAATCACCCAGCATGTGAGGAATGCCACACCAGGCTGGCTGCTGGCATCAAGCTTAACCACTACCCTAAATGCACAGTGCACCACTTCCGCAGAAATAACGACAAATATATTGATGGATACATGGACTACCCTTGCTACTGTGCTGAAGAGTACGAACAGAGATGGTGACCCCTGCCAGCATATGATTAAGCTATGCACCAACAATTATACCAACACCTTAAGATGGCACTACTGTCCTCGCAACTGCCTGGACCAATATAAAAGCCACAAACACGATAGATATTCATAGCACAGCACTATAGCGTATGTAATGTCCACCATAGGACCCCGCCCCACAGGACAATACACAAGGATTCCAAAATAAAATAAAATAAAGAAGTGCCACTCTTGTGTGAGGCTGGTTCATGAACTCATGATGGTGCTGCTCATACATAATGTAGTTGGCATAAACAGGCCTGAAACAGGGAAGCCTGTGATCATTGGGGGGGAGGATGTGTCTGAGGGAGTATGTATGGAGTTCCGTAAGTGGGTGTCGTGCATGAGGCACAACTGACATTGGTAGCAATGTCTTTATGGCAATTCCTTTTTCAATGAGGTTACATGTGATCTTTGTTATATCTGAACTCCAGTCATGCCGGTGTCTTCTTAGATAGATAATCTATAGATAAACATCTATAAAAACAAATATCTCTATGGTCAGTGATTCAGACAAATACCAATGACTGATAATATGGTCATTGATGGGTAGCTTGTTGTATACTACCCAAGGTACGTTCAGCTAAAGGTACTTCTGTAAGATCAGTAAATACGATGGTCAATCCAACAATATAGGATTAACAGAAAAACAAACAAACAATGGTTAGCCCGACAGTATGGCAATGACCAAAGAATAGAGAACTCTTCCTCAAGTTTCCTTTCAACAACAGTGCCTCATACCAACTATACTTCAAAAAGAATGGTGCAGAATTACAATGATCAACTCCCTCAGCACAAAACAGGTAGAATCAAAGATCAAGACTAGTTGATGCTTTATTATAGAACTCTTAGCTCAATATTGAACCTACTGTCAAGGAACTCACTGTGAGTATTCAAACAGACTCAGGAATGGATGTCCTTGGATTTACTACCAAGTCTCCTCTTCAACAGCTAAAGCCTATCAGGTAAAGAAAACCTTGGCTCAGTATCACTACTCAGATGAGTGAGGTCAAGCTTCACTATTAATTCCTAAAATCTCCCCACTAAGCTACTCTGGGTCTTAGGTGGACGTAGAGATAACATGAATTTTATGGAATATGTTTTTGGAAAAAAAACACTAAAGGTTGGTGAAAGTAGAAACACAAGAAAAAGAAAATAGAAAATCGAATATAACTGTAGCTGTACTTTGCTTACTGGTTGTTGCACACAGTGAGCTCACAGCTGGTTGTTGGATATGATGAGCTTGCAGTATTCACTGTCTCTTGAAAATATTCCTCTTAGTCTTGAACAGTTCTTGGCACTGGTACTGACACTTATCACACCTCACTCACAACTTAGTGTTAGATGGGTTGTAAAACTTCCTCTCTCTTTTTAAATTGTCAAAAACTGAGGTCATTATATACACATTAAATGTGGCTGTGCTACTAGTATATTCAGGAGTCATCAAGAGTCATTTCTAGTCATAATGAGTCAGTTCAAACCGATGAGTCATTAGGTATATAGCTGAGTCATCCTGGCTTGTTGCTAGTCATGTGACCTATCCAACTTCTGATGACAAACCTAGGGAGGGAGTAAAAAATATCACATGATGTGAATTCCTTGTGTGTCCATCTTTTCTTTGTTTTTCTTTTTATATGATGGGTGAAATTGACGTGATCCTAGTATTTAGGGTTTTAATAATGTTTTTCCAGGACAACATATGTGGGATATATTTTTCACAGTCACCTGACATGTGTGGGATTTAGTCTGGGTCATCGCCATCGCTGACTAAGCAAAACTTATTGCAGAATTAAATGTACTAAAATATTCAGTCCGCTCACATGCAAACTTGAAAAATGAGAAGAAATGCAAAAAATATTCCCTTAGCCTCAGTCTGACTTCAGATAGAAGGAAAAAGAGTTCCATAGTGACATTCTAAGGTATAGGACTTGTGGGAGAGTATTAGTCATCCATGCACTGAACCAGTTGGTGCAGGTCACCAGAGGCACATCATGGCCATGATGGTATCAGTAACTACTAATTTCCAAGGCACTAGACTTAATGACAGATTTGGCTCAATTATGTAGAGCTGCTGCTTGGGTTGCTATATATAGGAAACTTGAATGTGTGCGTTCAAGATCAATAGGGAGCAGTCAGGTTCTAGATCCCAGAGATTGGGCGGGATGTCCGATAATTGAGATTGAGGAAGAATGATGAGGTAACCTATAAACAAGTGATAATATGCTTTTGTGCCTCTGAAATTAAAGCAATATTCACAGGGTTGTTACCAATAAGTTTGCATAGGTGAGCCCATTGTGTCTTGTGAGTCCAATCATCAAACAGAGTCAATCTGCCTTGGGGTATAATGGTAGATGCTGTAAGTTAATATCTGAGATGAAAATGTAAAATTGAGACAAATTGCTCAACCCTTTGAGTATATTGAGCCAAGGGTGCAGGTGGGAAATTACCTTCTTCCCAGTTACCATCAGGAACACTGATAGGATCCAATGCATTACACAAGTCCCACTCATTATGGAATGAGTCATATACCTTGGTATATTTGTTGTATGACATCCAAGACATTGTTATCTCAGCCTTTGTGAGATAGACATGTTTAAGAAAGCTGTCAAACTTGTTATCAGGTTGCCATTCAAATACCATGACCATGCTAGATTTTCCAGAAATGCCATGGTTCATGACTACACATTCATGACTCTGACATGACTGCTATTGAGCTGGTGTCTCTGTCTCCTCTTTCTTCTTATTCTCCTCACTTCTGTCCAGAGTGAGGTTAGGGTATTGGAAATAGAGAGTCTGCATGAGCTTCAAGAATATCAGATATGGGCTGCTTCCCATTCAAGTGCACTCTGACTCTTGTTGTCTGGTTGACCTTATGTACTCCCATCTGGCTGACCCCACATACTCTCATCTGGCTGACCCCATTGGATCAGCTTGGTCACATGGGTGATAGCTCCCTGAGATGGAATATAATGATGCAAGCTGGAATTAATGGAAGAAACATCAACACCAGAAGCATTTTGGAGAAAGCAAACGCAAATCAGGATTAAGAATTTCTCAAACATGGGCAACTGAACTTGCCAAGGGCAGTGCTTGGAGGAAATGAAGACTCCTATATGTGGCATGCTTGTTGTGAGATCTCCAATGAATGAGCGCGACAACTCAAGAACCCATTCAGCAGATATGGGATACTTGGGGTCATTTATTAAGATAGCTGTCCAGGAATGATTAGAACCACGGTATTGATGACTCATAATAAACCATGAGCAAGTGATGGCAATTACTAGAAATATGTTAGGTAATTACAATTAAATGTACATATGGTTAACATACACAGAAATATGTTCCATAATCTCATTGCAACCTTTTTTTGCAAGGTTACCATCTGCATATAACCATTGGTACCCATAGGTAGTTGGAGGGCATGGAAGTTTAGTCACCCATGGGATGAGTAGCCCAGCACCCAAATGTTCCTGGTACCAGAGCAATTTCTGCTCTAAGACAATACATTTTTTCCAAATATCATGACGGAGAATGTATTTCCTCTGTGTATCTACCTCTGTGAGGAGTGAGAACCTGGAGTAGTTGAGGCATCCAAAGATCAGCCTATCCAAGATAGGATTCAAAGGTATAAGAGGAAACCACAGACGAGCTCTATATACCCAGCAAGTAGAGAGCAGCCTATCACTATCATTGGGAGAAGCATTATAATCTTTGAAAGGATCTCAATGAGGCTCATAAGGAATGACATCAGGAAGTAAATGTGCAGTTAGAGATGTATAGACCTGTCCATCATGGGCAAAGATACAGAGATCATCACTTATTGGTGGAGATGTGGAGGATATACAGTTGAGACAAGATTACTGCAACAGTATGAACTGTCACATTAAGTTTGAGTCAAAATCTCCTGCAACAGTATGAACCAATATGTTAGATGAGGAAGAAGAAAAGGGTTTGGTATGTCTATATAGTAATGGCAGAGTTTCAAGAAGTGATTACCATATTGGTGGCAACAATACCAGAAGATCAGAGGTGTGGCTATTGTGGCTTGTGGAGAAAACAAAACAAGTGTGGCTTTAGATGTGAAGCATGACCTACCAAATAAGGACACATATTACAGTGACCTATCTCCGTATAATACAAGGGAATGGACGTGCATAATATCCCGTATGATACGGGCCAGCGGACCATGGGCCCATGATAAAAATATCCTCGACTGTGACAGATGGGCCGGGAGGCAAATTATTCCCAATGGAGGCGGGTGGGCCCATGCAGGGAATATATAGAGTAGATGAGTGGGCCGATGTACATGAATATTAGGTAGATGGGTGGGCTGAGGTAGTTGGATATTATGCAGATGGGTGTATTAAGGTAGATGTGTATGAGATAGATGGGTAGGTACTTGTTATCACATTCACAGGTGGGCCCAGACACATATTAAATTAGATGGGTGGGCTGAGGGTATTATAAAATATTGTATTAGACGGGTGGGCCGAGGGTGTTGTATGGGATGTTGTATTAGACGGGTGGGCCAAGGGTGGTATAAAATATAGATGGGTGGGGCCATGTGTATCATAATTGTAGACATGATGGAGCTGAGGTAGTTGTACATCAACCAAATCAGAGGAGGTAATAGATCAAAGTTACCAAGTTCCCGGAGCAGCAGGTGATCTCCTGACATGGCCTTTGATGGTGCACAGGTTGTCTTGCAGAATGTGGAATCCGGGGTGCGAAGCTTGTGTTGCCCTACAAGAAGCCAAGTTCCGACCACCAGAATTTGAGTCAACTGTACTGAGTTCCGAGTTCCGGGACCCGGAACTCAACACATAATTTAGTTAATACTTTCCGTGTTAAATGGCCAACCGAAGTTGAGATGTTTCTGAAGAGAGCAGCAGGTGCTCTCTTGACATGGCCTTTGATGGTGCATAGGTTGTCTTGCAGAATGTGGAATCCGGGGTGCGAAGCTTGTGTTGCCCTATGAGAAGCCAAGTTCCGACCACCAAAATGTGAGTCAACCGTACTCAGAGGAGGTAATAAATCAAAGTTACCGAGTTCCCGGAGCAGCAGGTGATCTCCTGACATGGCAGTGCAAAGCTTGTGTTGCCCTACAAGACGCCAAGTTCCGACCACCCAAATTTGGGTCAACCGTACTGACTTCCGAGTTCCGGGACCCGGGAGTCGACAAATGAATATCTGATGACCAGCACACTTCCAATCAGGTAGTATTTCATTGAGCAATGGATAATAATACATCTTTGACAGCCAAAATTATCCCAGGCT